TTTTTTTCTTCTTGTATTTCCAAAGGTCACCTCCCGTTGGTTGTGGAGTTGTGCCTAAGGCATGTGACCGCTAACCAGAAGCTGATGGTTCAAACCCACCAGCCACTGCTCCGAAGGAAGATTGGGCAATCTACTTCTGCAGAGATACTGCCTTGGAAACCCAAGGAGGGGTCGCTATGAGTCAGGATCAACTCGACGGCTGTAAGTTTGGTTTTTTATATATATTTTTTTGGATGCAAAGAAAGTGCTGCTGTTATTGCTAAGATATACATCAGGCTGGGCTCAGTTCTCTGACTCCATGCATGCCTGGTGCTGTTTCAGTTCAGCTTTGGCATTAACAATGATCAAGGCAACAGAAGACACAGGAAGGAGTATAAGAGTTAAAGGTGACACAGGAGAATACTATTACAGACACAATCCTACTATAACAGTAATAAAAGTAATTACGAGTGGCCATAGATAGGCACACGTCTGAACAGGAGTGGGAAGGTGAACGGAACTACACCCATGAATATATAATGAATATGTACAGGTTTGACAGTGGCTGTCTCTACCTATGTGTTTACATGTGCTGCAAATATATCCATGAATGTAGTGGAGCATACAGGGGGCAAAGTTATGAAAACTTCTTAGTCATAACCAGACACCTTGAGGGAATGACCTACTGGGTATGGAGGCTCAGGACCAAAGTCTCAGGGGACACTAAGGTCAACGGGCATAATGTAGTCCACAAAGACAATGTTCTACATCCGACTGCAGTGAGTAGAACTGGGATCTTGAAACCTTCTGAGCAGCCATCTGAGGTGCAACTATTGGTCCCTCCGCTTCTGGAGCAAAGAAGAGTGAACAAAATCAAAGACACAAGGAAACAATTAGTCCAAAAGACTAAAGGACCACATAGAGACAAGAATTAGATGGTGCCTGGCTATCATTGCTGACCGCTCTGAAATGGATCAAAATAGAAGCTCGAGATGTTGTCGTCGTTATGTGCTGTTGAGTCAGACCCGACTCATAGTGACCCCTCTTTGGGTATAGCTCAGGTAGCTTAGTGCCTAAGGCACTTGACTGCTAACCAGAGGCTGCTGGTTCAAACCCATCAACCACTCCTTGGGAGCAAGGTTGGGCAATCTACTTCTGTAGTAATACCACCTCAGAAACCCAAGGAGGGGTCACTATGAGTCGGGTCCAACTCAATGGCACACAACAACAAACAACAACATCACTACAGAAGTAGATTGTCCAACCTTCCTTCTGAGGAGTGGCTGGTGGGTTTGAACCGCCAGCCTTCTGGTTAGCAGTCAAGTAAGTGCCTTAGGCACTATGCTACCAGGAGCTCCAGACAAACTGGGGGAAAATACGAAACAAAACTCAAAATCATAAAAAAGAAGAAGACCAGGCTAACTGGTCTGATAAAGACTGGTGGAACCCCCAAGACTATGGCCCTTAGACACCCTTCAAAATTGAACTTACTCTTGTGACTCAACTTCAGTCAAATGATAGACAGGCCTATAAGGTAAATAGTAATACCAGGAGTATATGCAATTATTAGAGCAATCAAACATATGAGATCAAGAGGACAGCATTTGCCCAGGGATAGAGCTAGGAAGGCAGCAGGGGATGGGAAGGAAGGATGAAAGGAAGGAAGTGGGCACAGAGAAGAAGTGGGAAGAATGCTGTTACAGTGTGGGGATTGCAGTAAATGTCACAAAACAGAATGTGTATGGATTATTGAATGGAAAATCTGTAAAGTGTTACCCAAATCACAATAAAATGTATACATCGATAAAATAAAACACAAATAAAAAATAAAATATGGATAGTTAGCCAAGCCAACCATCTTCTCTCCTTCTCCCAGTCCTTGTACAAAATTCCTCTGACTTCTTAAAAAACTCTGTGCAGGTATAATGCCCAGAATGACAGAGACCCTCCCTTCTTCCCCAGCCCGCACTCTGTGCTGCCACCAGAAGCTGGATAATGGTAAACCTTCTCTATTCTAATGTCTGTTTGCTTTTTATTTCTTCCTTGTCTTTTCTTATTTTTTGCCTGAGGAGACAGAATTTATGCATAGAACTGTACCCCTTCCTGAGCTGCATTAATCATGAAGTCAGTTCTCTGAACAGAGAAATAAGTCCCTCTGGCAGAAGACAAGGTCAGAACACTGTCCTCCAAGGGTGACTTCTTGCAACATAACCCCCATCACCACCTTACTCGTCTTCCTCAGATCCTCACTGCCTTCGGAAAATAAGGCAATAAGAAGACAGGTAATTGGGTAAATTGAGTCATTTTGAAGGCGCCAAGGGCAGCTTGTTATTTAAGGTAACCCTGCAGGAAATCCTTTTGCTGAAAGAAAATCATTTCAGGGGACAAATAGTCACTTCTAATTTTACCAGTTAAGCAGCCCGAGTGGTGCACCAGTTAAGCATTGGCTGCTAACTGAAAAGCTGGCAGTTTGAACCCTCCAGTTGCTCCACAGGAGAAAAGACTTGGTGGTCTGCCCCGATTCAGATCACCGCCTGTGAAATCCGTGGGGCACTTCTACTCTGTCACATGGGATCACTCTGACTCAGAATGGACTTGACAACATCTAACAATACCAACAATTTACCAGTTTCGTAAGTTTGCATTTTTTCCCGTGGGATCTCCTTTCATAGGGAACATAGCAAACCTTGGAGTCCTGGTTGGTGCAAAAGGTGAACATGCTGCACTGCCGACCCAAAGGTGAGAGGTTCAGATCTACCCTAAAGTGCCGTGGAAGAAAGGCCTGGTGATCTACATCCAAAAAATCAGCATTGAACACGTTGTGGAACACAATTCTGCTTGGACACACATGGGATTTCAATGAGTTGGAATGGACTCCATGGCAACTGTTGTTTTTTAATACCATATCTAAGATCTAAATTAGGAGCTCTGGTGGCGTAATGCCTAAGGCACTTGACTGCTAACCAGAAGGCTAGCGGTTCAAACCCACCAGCCACTCCTCAGAAGGAAGGTTGCGCAATCTACTTCTGTAGAGATAAGAGGAAAGGGAAATGTGACAGGGAATTTCAGATTCTCTCCAGAATTCCAAAGAAGAAATGTGAGAATCCCCTGCCCAGAGTCAGAAACAGAAAGAGAAATGCTGGAATCAGGCCTTTGTCCCCGACTCCTGGACCTGGATTTGCTCTTCACCATTTGCAAAGTGATCTCCAGGTGGCCCTGCCCCAACTCCTGCCACCAGGGCTCTTGCTTGGGTCCTGGGACTGCTCCCTGCTCTCTCTCCCATTTATAAGGGGATTTTCTGTCATCTATGCCATTGTGGGAAGAGAATAATCTGTTCAGCACGAGAGGACATCACAATGGGCTGGGCCTCTCACCACCCAGAGTCCCACTGAAGCAGGCCTGTTAATACATTTACTTACCTGACACACAAGGACATTGCTCTTACCTAGGGTATGCTGTGTAATGCTGCCCACGGAGGGGACCAGATAAAGTGGAGGTGAGGGGCCACTACTCAGTTGATAATTGCAGCTATCAGTTGGATCCCATGTTAAGTAGTTCTTTAACCTGACCGTGATCTGCGAGACACATCACCCACCAACATTTTCACCCTCTCAGTTTTCTTGGGAAATTTATATCCCAGTTGCAGTACATGCTGCCACCTGGTGGGGATGTATATAACTGCATACATTTGAAGAAACAGGCCTCAACCAATCCTACTGCTAGAGTCCACTTGGGACACAGTTGTAACGAAATCTATATCCTCAATTTTTTTTCACTTGATTTCAGCATGTCTTCCACTACTGAAAACACATAGCGCCAAGGAAAAATTGAAAGAGGGAAGTAATTTGGTCATGAAAGGGTTTAAAAGCACACTGTTCAAGGCAGACATTCTTTCCTAGTTATGCTAAACTATTGCTTGGTTTAGACAAGACTTCAGGGGATATTTTTGGTTTAAGATTAAAGATAATCTTAGGGCAATAGTTTTGGGAATTCATCTAGCCTCCATAGCTCTAGAAAGTCTGGATTCCATAAGAATTTGGAATTCTTTTCCTCATTTTTCCCCCTTTCAATCAAGATTCTTCTCTAACAGATATTACTTCTTTGGTTACTTTGAGTGGGGTTCTGTTAACTGCCAACAAAGAGGTCACTAAGAGACTGGTGTTCCCTCCACAGCCTTGCCTGAAACTTGCTCAAACTGTGGTCCCAAGACCAGCCAAACCAGCAACACCTGGCAGCCTGTGAGGAATGCAGATCTCAGGCCCCACCCCAGATTGAGTCTAGACCTGCATTTAACAAGGTCTCAAGGGGCATTTTGTTTGAGAAGGGCAATTATAAAGAATTGCCAGAAGACACAACCACAGGTTCCTGGGCTCCCATAGGACAGAGGGTCATCTTGAAAGGAAAGTTCCCTTCTTTCCCCCTACAGCAGTGGTTCTCAGCTAGGGGCAGTGATGTCCCCCAGGGGACACTTGGCAATGTCTGGAGACATTTTTGGTCATCACAACTGAGCTGGATGGTACTAATGGCATCTAGCAGATACAGGCTAGGGACACTGCTAAATGTCCTACAATGTGCAGGACAGCCCTCCCAGCCCCACAACAAAGAAGCTTCTGGCTTCAAATGTCCAAGTGTCAAGGCTGAGAAACTCTGAAATGAAAGGCTTATTACACTCATACCAGAAGCTCCAGGAAACCGGGTCCCCATGAAGGTGTCTTGCCAGCCTACTGGTGATTAGCACAGCTCCTCAGGTAAAATAGTCTCTCTTTGGTTGACCTAATATTGCAACTGGCAGAAGCTTAAATCTTTGGTTTATTTAGTCTTGGGATCCAAGATCCAGGTATGTATAAAATATCTTTGAGCATAAAGGTGTCACCCTCAGACCATGGTTAACACTGACTCAAAGCACAGTGAGGCCAAGCAGGGCAGCCACCCCAACGGGACAAACTCTGATACCATTTGCAGCTTTGCACAGTTCTACTCATACCATCAGATCACCGGAGTTTGGGCAAGGCAGACAAAGCCAATGGTCATACTTATAGGGAAGGTCAGCAGTTCAAACCCACCAGCTGCTCTATGGGAGAAAGATGGGCCAGTCTGCTTCCAAACAGATTTACAGCCTTGGAAACCTGTGGGGGCAGTTCTACTCTTCCCTATAGGGTGGCAGTGAGTCGGAATCAACTCAATGGTAGTGGGAAGTGGGTATACATGTAGAGAGTATCTATAAATCAGGTACTGATTTATACTTTTTATATTATAGTGCTCAACATTAATAATAGTCCACAAAGCCCATTCTTAGAGGGCGTTGAAATATGCAGTTTGTCACCATTCAGTGATAAAATGGTTAGCTGGCCACACAGATGACAGTCTCTGGCTGGGGGATGGAGACTAACAGATTTATCTCAAAGCAAACGTAAGAATCAGAGAATTCCAGGCAGGCTGCTGGGTACCCTAACAACCAGCCTAGTCAGACTGTCTGTTCAGGTCAATTGTTTTGTTTTGGAAAACTCAGTACAAACCAGACACCCCTTGGGAAAACTATTATTTTTCCCTTTGCGATCCCATTAACCTGATTTCCCACCTCACAGCCTGAGGGTGTGGGGAGGGATTGCAGAAGGTATCGGCTCAGTCCATATCCACCACCCTCCTCTCAGGGTTACTGATGAACCAGCAGTGACATGTAGGCTAATGCCTGACCCCACATCCAGGCTGGGATGTCACAACTATTTATAACCCACCTGGACTGTGCTTCTGGAGGAACCTGCCAGCAAAAACTCACTGTGCCATCCTTCTGAGCATAACCTGGCCACGGCGGTGATGAGAAGCATTACCTGAGAGTTGATTTGCTGCTGTTCCCTCTGCATTAACACCAAGTAACTGGTGTTAGCATCAGTTAGCAACTAGACTGGTGTTGGACTGGGTTAGCATCCAGAAGTTTCACAATTATGGTGTGTTTGCCAAGCAGACCCACAGACAGCCTGGGAGTGGGGTGGCCTTCATCCCTCCCAATCTCAGAGTGTTTTGCAAGCATTCTACCCAGGGTCACTCTGAGTCCAAATCAACTCAAAGGCAATTTGTTTCTACTTAGCTCTGGTGGCGTAGCACCTAAGGCATTTGACTGCTAAACAGAAGGCTGGTGGTTCAAACCCACCAGTCACTCCATGGAAGGAAGACTGGGCAATCTGCTTCCGTAGAGATACTGCCTCGGAAAGCCAAGGAGGGGTCACTATGGAATTCAACTGGATGGCAGTGAGTTTGGTTTTTTTCATTTAGCTCTGTGGCCAAATGGTTTTTGTTGGTGCAGTATCCTGTGCTGATTTCGTTGACAGCCATTAATGCAGTTCACGCTCAGGCAAGTGATTTTGCATTTTCCTTGGCCCTGGCTCCTGAGCCCAATTCATGCACTAGGGCAGGTAGAGTCTCTGTGACAATAGTCCAGGCTGTTTGGAGGGTCAATGACTAATTCAGAACCCATTTTCCCCTCCTAAATCCACATCTACCATGGGTTGGGTCTCCCTTTGTGCCTAGGTCGTTGCCCCTCCCACCCGATGCACCTTCCCTTGCGCTGGTCATAGGAGATACCCTGGACAGCCAGATCCCTCTCCCAGCTCTGCTGTGGCTGGAAAAGTCATTAGAGCCCCCAGCAGTGGGAAGGCTTCTCCAACTAAAGAGCTCTGCTCAGTCCAAGGACGACCGTCATAGAGCCGGCTTTATGGAGGCCTGTCTGATGACGTTAACTCTAGGCTACTGATGTTATTAATGGTGAGAACTTCATTACAAAAGTTTCCAGTTGCCACTGAGTCAATTCCAGCTCATGGTGACCCCATATGTGTCAGAGTAGAATTGCCCTTCATAGCGTTTCCATGGCTGTGACCTTTCAGGAAACCATTCACCATGCCTCCCAAAGCACCTCTGGATAGATCTGAACCACCAATCTTTTGGTCAGCAGCTGAGTGTATTAACAGTTTGCAGCACTCAGGGACTCCATTATAAAAGTACTTGATTTATATGATTCTCTGCATGTGCACAATGGCAAGCTGAGAACCAGGGGCATCGTGTCAGCCCCCTACTCCTCTCCCCGCCATACATAATCCATGGTGTATGTGAACGGTGGGCCAGGGGTGGCATGGGAGAAAAGGTAGAAAACAGAAGTCCACAGGTCAGGAGAAAGGACACTGAAGGTCTCACATCTCTTATCTCTCCTCTCACTCACTGCCGTTGAGTCAGATCCAAGTCATAGTGACCCCTCCTTGGGTTTCTGAGGCGGTATTTCTATCTATGGAAGTAGATTGCCCAACCTCTCTTCTGAGGAGTGGCTGGTGGGTTTGAACCACCAGCCTTCTGGTTAGCAGTCAAGTGCCTTAGGCACTACGCCACCAGAGCAAAGCGCATCTCTCTGCCTCCTGTTCAGTGTGTCTGAGGAGGCTCAGAGGCCCGGAAAGCAGAGTGTGCAGCCCTCAGAGCCCTGTATGCCCTCAGGCCTACCTGGTAAAGCGAGGGATTTCGTCGTTGATGTTCACAATGTTCACGTGCAGCGCTGTGGAGGCTTTGAGGCCTTGGCTATCTCTTGCTTCCACAATGAGATAGTAACTGTCAGGGAAATATTCCAAGTGGGAGAATCACGCTTTGCTGATACTACGTCAAAATGCGAATGTGGTGGCAGCAATAAGGAAAGAGTATGTCCCCTTTTTGTCCACCTCCTTCCATATCCTCCTGCAGGAGCCCAACCTGTTACATCCACCCCTCTTTCCCTATCTCTAAAACCCACTCCTCCGCGTCAGTTACTGTGCTGTTAATACCACCATCTCACTAAGTGGCTGCTCGTGCCAGCCATGGTGCACACCCTACCTCCTTCATTCCTCACAATATCCCAGCAAAGTAGAGACCACGCCCATGTGAGGACATAAGGTGCCAAAAGATTAACTAGCCCTACTGGGCAGTGTTTCGTTCTGTTATACATAGGGTCGCTATGAATCAGTGCTGACTTAATGGCACCTAACAACAACAAAAAGTTCTCACAACTGGGCAGAGCCAGGATTCAAGCCTAGTTGACTCCAAGGCTGCTATCATCCAAAGCCTGGGCCTTTTGCCATCTCTTTCCTCAGAGACCTACTGGCCTCACTGACACTTTAATGTTTGCAGCTACTTGGCTCTGGCACCTGCCATGGGCTCAGTGCCATCCCAAACCAGACTGGGCATCTAAGGCAATCCTCTGGATAATTTGGGAGCCTTTTCCCACATGGAATCGCCACGAGTCAGATTTGACTCAATGACAACTATTTTTCATTCCCCTGCACCTTGGTTCTTGTTAAATGTAGATAAAGATTTTAGACAGGGAAAGAGGTCTTCCAGGTAATAGTCTTATCCCTATTTCTCTTTGGGGTTCACTATCCAAACATAACAGGACAGCAGACCTCTCAGAACTAACCAAGCTGGCCTATATTGCATTGGGTGGGCTCCTTCATGTTTTCCTTGTCGCTCAGAGAACTACCCAACTGTATTTCAATCAAGGTTATGCAAAGGCTACCTGCTGTTGCCTGCTTCAAAGTCAAATTCCATTGTGGAGAAGAGTGTACCATTACCAGACATTCTGAAGCTCTTTGAGGGAGAAATCAGGAAATACTGAAAAACAAGAGAAAGAATGTAACTGTCAGAGAGAAGAATTAATAACAGATATCTTACTTTGATTTTAAGGTTTTTTTCTTACCCATGAAACCAAATATTAACCGGAACAAAATTCCTGACCCCAAATTAATCCTGACAGGATTAATTAGCACCCCAACTTGCTAATTTTTCTTTCCAGTTCATTTGAAGCGAGGTTTACTTAGTTTAAATTTCAAAAGGTATTATGGCTGCAGGTAGATGGAGGGCCAGAGACCACCTTCTGACCTGATATCAGTTGATCTCAGTAAAATGGGAAGGACAGGGTTCAATCAATCACATTAAGATTAACCAATGGTGGTCTTCTATTTTCTCTCCTCTTTATAAGCTTCAATGCAGGTAGCCTGCTTCAAGCTATTTGCTGTTTGTTCTTTTTTTTTAAAATCAGAATGGTCTCCCTATATGCATATAGAATAGCTGCTCAGAATAAACCTTATGTTGCCATTTCTTTGCCTTTTGATTATTTTTAGCATAACCAAGTCAGCACACCTGTGCACTTTCCCCAGGAGACATGTTTGCTTGATTCTCATTTTATGTTCTCAGTCTATCAAACATTATTTTATTTACTTAATTTTTTAAATTAATTGTGGTAAATCTGTATATAACAAAACATTTGCCATTTTAACATTCTTCACATGTACCATTCAGTGACATTAACTGTGTTTATCATGTTGTTCAGTCCTCACCACTATCCATTTTTCATCACCCTTAACAAAAGCTAAGGAGCCCAGGTGGCACAGTGGTTAAAGCACTCAGTTACTAACCAATAGGTCAGCAGTTCGGACCCACGAGCTGCTCTCAGGAGAAAGATGTGGCAGTCTGTTTCCATAAAGATTATAGCCTTGGAAATCCTACTAGGCAGTTCTATTCTGTCCTATAGGGTCACTACGAGTTGCAATGAACTCAACAGCAATGAGTTTGGTTTTCGGTTTTTTTGTTTGTTTTTTAAACAAAAGCTCAGTGTCTCCTAAGCAATGAGTCCCACTTTGTCCCTCCCTCCGCCTTGAAACATTCTTGATGTGTCAGGATGAAGCCCAATGGGTAGGTCTCAGACTTACTGGTTCTTGAACTAAGAACTTTCTGGATCTCCTGATCTTAGCCTGTAGCTCTGATTGGCCACACCCTGAGAAGCTGGTCACTGGATCCTGCTTCAACTACAAAAAGCACGTAAGAGGCCTCCTGTCTAGGCAAGATCTGCTCCCAAATCCAAACTCCTATCCTCTCATGGTATTCTCACTTGTGCTCCCTGGACAACTTGTGGCATTGATTCTAACTCTTGGCTTTAATGAAACCAGAACACAAAACAAAAACAAAAACAACCAAACCTGTTGCTATTCAGTTGATTAATTCATGGTTACCCATGTGTTATAGGGGAGAACTGTACTCCATAGTTTCTTTTGGCTGAAATATTTAGGAAAGCAGATTGCCAATTCTTTCTTCCACAGTGCTGCTAGATGAGTCTGAACTGCCAAGCTTTAGGCTGTAGCATAACCAACACTGTTTAAATGCTTTCCATGCATTAAGGACTAAGATGATACTAAGATGATTAAGATATGTCACTACCCTTAAAGGAACTTACAGTTAAGTGGTTCACAAATGAGCACAAACATGTAAGTGCATCTAAGTGATGGAAGCAACAAGCATAAGCTGAGAATGAAACATAGCAGGGCACAGAGCAGAAACTGGAGCCTGGTTTGGGGGCGTAGAAGGAGCTCTGCTGGTGCAGTGGTTAAAGCACTGACTTCTAACCAAAAGATTGGCAGTTTGAACCCACCAGTCCCTCCATGGGAGTAGGATGAGACAGCCTGCTTCTGTAAAGATATACAGCCTTGGAACCCTATGGGGCAGTTCTACTTTGTGCTGTGATGTTGCTAGGAGTTGGAATCACTTCATGGCAGTGGGTTTGGTTTTGGGGGGTTAGGGATATAGAAGGTCTATTTTTCAATCTTATCCCAGGTGTGGTCCCACTGGTAAAGTCCTTCTCAGGTTTTTGGGAGTTGAGTCTCTTTGTAGTCCTTAACTGTTAGCATCCAGCCTGGCTCTCTTGCTGGCACCCTTCCCATAATTTGCTCTGACAGGGACCCACAGGCCTATTTGCACGGGCCACCAGGGACCAGTCTCTGGGAGGACCATCCCTGTGCTATCCATGGTGCTTGACAAGGTTATTTCCTAGCTCCCGTGTTGGAGTCAAGGAAGCAAAGGTAGGACTTAGACCAGAAGAGCTGGTTCAAGTTCTGGTCCTCACCACAGGGTTTTGGACAAGTCCTTTTCTTGCCTATAATTTAAGGATGATAACCACCAATTGCTCCTCATTGTTGTTGTGAGCATTAAATGAGAACACACACTGTAAAAATGTGAAGGACCACAGCATGATTTGAGGCTTACATGTTTATATCCATTTGTTCCAAAAGACTTTAAGGTGAGAAGTTTCATTATTTCCCACTAGGAAGAGCGATGATCTATCCTCAAGGCCTTAGATCTCTGGATCAGATAATCAGTGGCAATTTGGCAACCAGAACCACAGCCCATGAAATCTAAATCAAAGGATGTGCCAGCCAAGGTTTCCAACCCAGAGATTTGCTGTGTTGTGATCACAGCTGAGTTCCCAGAAGACAGAGCACACAGAAAACAGATTAAAGGTTTCCCTGGTAGCATACTGGCTATGGCACCTGACTGCTAACCAGAAGGCTGGCAGTTCAAATCCACCAGCCACTCCTCGGAAGGAAGATGGGGCAATCTACTTCCGTAGTGATACTGCCTTGGAAACCCAAGGAGGGGTCGCTATGAGTCGGGTCCAACTCGACGGCAAACAACAACATACAGTTTTAAAACCATTTTTTAAGTGTTTATTTTCTGTTTATTATTTAATAACAGTTTTTCTATCTTTAATGAACATACATTTTATATAAAAATTGGGAAATATAGAAAAGTATAAAGAAGAAACTAAGAAACTAAATATAAATCACTTGTAAAATCCCATCCCTTCCATTCTTTTCTGTCCAAACATACACCCTCTGTCTCAGGCTGGATTCTCTAGAGAAGCAAAACCAGTGAAGATTAGAGAGAGAGAGAAAAAAAAAATTATCTCAAGGAAATGGTTCATGCAGTTGTAGAGGCTAGCAAGTCCCAAATCTGTGGGTCAGACATCAAGCTAAAAGCTTCTCTTGACTCATGTAGCTGCAGGGATTGATGATCAGCAGGCAATGCAGTAGGCTGCTGGCTTCAGAGGCTGGCAAATCCAAGACTGGGAGATAAGATGGCAGGCTTTTGGCTCACAGGCTGTGAAGGTAACAATCCCAAGAGCAGCAGGCAGTACGGCAGGTTACTGGTTCAAATCCAAGAAGCAGATATGATGATGAGGAGGAGCCACATGCAGAATCCAGCTGGAGAAAAACCCAGAGAGCTTTGCCAGAGCTTTTCCATATATATTGGAAGCAGGCCACACACTGAAGGAAACTCCTTTCCAACTGATTGACTGTTCATAGCAGATCTCATTGTGGAAGTGATTGTATTATATCAGATCTCACTATAGGGGATGACTACATCATAACTGCTAAACCACTTAGGATCATGCCAGTCAAGGTGACACACCTTACTATCACATCTTCCAAAAAACTTTGGGATTGTGTTCTAATCAAGATTATAATATCTTTTTATTTAAATCTTGAACATTTTCTAAAATCCTTGAAATTTATTTTCAGCATGGTTAGTTAATGATGGCATAGGTTCTACTGCAGGGCTATTTGGGTGGTTTCTTCCCACTTTTTGAGGGGAAATATTTGGGCAATGCAAGGAGAACTCTTCTTCAGCCTCCCAAATTGTCTAAGCACCTTAAACAAACAAACAAAAAAAACTCACTGCCGTCGAGTCGGATCCAACTCATAGCGACCCCTCCCTGGACTTCCGAGGTGGAATCACTATGGAAGTAGATTGCCCAGCCTTCCTTCCGAGGAGTGGCCAGAGGGTTTGAACCTCCATCCTTCTGGTTAGCAGTCAAATGCCTTAAGCACTATGCCACCAGAGCTCCCTCTAAGCACCTTGGCAGTACTCAAAGGTGTGATGTTTAAATGTGTACCCCTCACCAATTCTCCAGCCCACGGCCAGGACAGCAATTGCCTAGGCCTGCAGCTGCTTGCACATGGAGCAGTCATGTGTCTTTGAGCAAAGCCTTCTACAAAGAGAATCCTCGTAGTCATTGATCAGAGGCCCACACTGGGTGTGATAGAATGACAAGGTTCTGGAGGCCCAAGGGGGGTGTATGCATCTGAATCAAGATATAGACACCTTCCACATGTGTTTTGAAATGCATTAGAAGATGGGTGCCCAGTTCTGGTTGAGTGCCAAGCAGGGTGAGAACTTGGAATACAGAGATGATAGGCCCTGTTCTCCATAAGATTAAGGTCAACTCAAGGAACTAACAAATAAGATATGGGAGATATGCTCTGAGAAGGATACGTATAAGATATGATGGGAACAGAGGAGGAGGGTTGAGAACCATCTGGGAATAGAAGAATCACAAAATGGAACAGTAGAGTTCAGCATTATGGCTCTGGAATTTGTATCCTGGTTCCACTGATTCCTAGCTGCAAGAGTTTGTGCAACAAAGAACAAAAATAATACTGCATGCTCCATGGGCTGATCACGTGAAGTGCTCAGAACAGTGCCTGGCACATGGTAAGCATTGAATAAATGTTACTTACTATTGTCCCATTACAATGTAAGACCTATGAGAAAAAGGCTACATTGCATTCACAGTTAAATGCCCAGTGCCCGACACATAATAGATGCTCGATAAATATTCGTTATTATTGTTGTTGTTAGGTGTCATCCAGTTGGCTCTGACTCATAGCAACCCTATTGCAAAAAGGGCAGGGAGGCTGCATCTTCTGACCTCCTCTAATCCCACAAGAGGAAGACAGAATCACCATCAGTAGCCCAAGGCCTATCCCTGTGAGGCCAGA